CATCGTGGACACAGGCCTTAAGGCCCGTTCTCACCAACGTCGTTTAACTTTACCCCTGGACCACAATCTTGCTTTAAGTAAGCTGTAAGCTTTAAGCCGTAAGAAATTAACCAATCACAGGCATTTATTCCCCTCACTCTTACCTACGACTGGTTAATTTTTTACGGCTTAAGGCTCACAACTTACTTAAAGCAAGATTGTGGACCAGGGGTTAAGCTTAGCTTACTTCGTTCTGCGTCTCTTTCCAACTGTTACTTTAGAAAGAGACAAACGTGAATTAAACTATGATTGAAGTTAAGCGACGTTTGGTGAAACCGGGCCTAAGTTAACATAACTTCTCACGAACACCACCTGCACTGCTTAAACGACTAACATACACGCCAAGTTGCATGTAACTATTTCAACACCTGCATCTGTTGTTTCTGGGCTTCCCTCTGCTTCCCAACGGAACGCAGCAGATTTCGCGCGCCGATCGTCTTCATTTTCTCTCTCTCCACCTCCTTCGCTAGATTGTCCAATATCCTAATAAACTCGTCAGTGTTCTTCTCAAAATCGGTAATCTCTGCAACGTGAAAAATTCTCAATCGCCGCAACATCCATTTGTGCCTCTGAGGCGAGATTAACGATTTAGGACCGAGTGTTCCAATATATCGGACAGCTTTTTACCCTTCAGATTAACATCCTTCATCTCTTTCTAATTATTCGCCTTAGAAAGAGATACGAAATGTTAATCAAAGGGTAAAAGTTACCCGACGGTTGGAACAATCGGCTCTTAGGCCTGGTGTTTCATTTTCTGGTTATTGCTAGAAGTTAGTCCCCTACTAGCACAATATTAGGAAATAATAGGTATGTTTTCCGTTCCTGCACTGGTGAACTGGAGCAGTAAGCTAGAATGAGAAAAATATACTTGTTTTACTCTAATTTATGGCACTAGTTCACCAGTGCAGGAACGGAAAACAAACCTAATGTAAATCCTAGTAGTCTCAATATCGATCCATGGCCGGATTGGAACCAATGAAAAAAAAGTCAATATTGGTCAAATAGCGATTGTAAGATGGATGGCTTCTCTTATTTAGCCAATATGTCTATTTAGCAATATTGGTCTAATATTGATACAATATTAGACCGATATTCTTATTACATTGTTGAATATTGGCCAATACACTTCAAATATAAGTCAAATATTTTATAATTATTATCGTGCAATATTTACATTTATTCCATGGCCAATATTGGCTTTACGTTAAACAACATATGCATATCTAATATAACATTGGACCGATATTTAACCAATGCATTGTGCCACTAGGGTCGATTCTCTATCTCTTCTTAGATAATATAACTAATATAAAAAAGGTGGAGAGTCGACACTAATCTCTGGTTAGCAGTTAACCAAGAAATGAAAAACTTAGTGCGGTGGACTGTGAAATATTGGGATGCAGTTTCTACGTGAAGCTTCGAAAGGGAAGATCAGACCTTGGTGTCAGATAAATCTTTTATTTCGCATCGTTTTCTTTACTCATTTCTCTTTCGTACAATTATTCCAAATACAATCTTCAAATTACACTTCTTTCCCGAATAAACATTTTAATCTATAACAAATAACAATACCCATGCACTGGCATTAATGTCCACTTCTGACCAATTGGATTAATTCCAATCTTTCCCTAGTTCTAAGAATTTAAAAGAGAAAAAAATAAATAGAAAAATAAGCTAAACCGAAATTGAAGATAAAGAGCGCAGACGGGATTTTGACAGCAACTCTGCCGCTCGAGTGAGCGTAAGTTGGAGAGCCGTCCTAGCTGCCATCGAGAGTGTGCAGACGTGCGCATCGTTGTGCAGGAAACTCGTGGAGCGAAGGCACACGCGGCAAGCGCAGCGGCGCGGTGACGGGAATCGTGCGAGGGTGAGTACCGCCGGTCGAGCGGATCGTGCGTCGCGTCGCGCCGCCGTGGCGTCGGACTCACTCGACACGAAGCTCTGGCACTCCTCCCTCAGCTTGTGCGTCTGATTCGCCGCCTCCGGCTCGAGGACGCGTATCTTGCTCAGGTCGTCGATGTAAACGCCGTACTTGGCCAGCGAGTCGGCCATCTTCTCGACCGCGGGCTGGTGTCGCGTCACGTGGCGCGGCGGAGCGCGGGCGATTCCGATTGGTCGCGAGTGATCGACTTTTGGCGATGTCCCGTGTGTCGGTGGTCCGCGCCGCCACGTTCAGCCCAACGCGCGCGTCGCCAAGTTGCTCGCCGTGAAGTTGGCCGCGCTCGTACGACGATTGACAAACGTGCGGTGAGATGGAGCGAAATGGCAACGCGCTAGCGGCTCTGCCGCCCTGCCGGGGTCAGCGCGGGTCAACGCGACGCTGAAGACAGGCCTCCCGCGCCGCTCCGACGCAAACGCGAGATCCCGCTCGCGAGCGACGCGGTTCGAAGGGGGATCGATCGATACGCTCGCTCCCGTCCGCGCCGCGTCACATCTCACATCGCGAGTATCGCGACTCGCACCGCCCGTCGCGTCAGTACTCGCCTCGGCGTCGCCAGGTCGCTCGGTCGGCGCGTAAACTCTCGTTATGTCGGGCGAGCACAAGACGGTCATCAAGTACCCGTCGGAGTATGTCAAACTGAACATCGGGGGCTCGCTCCATTACACCACCATCGGCACCCTGCAGAAGCACGACACCATGCTGCGCGCGATGTTCAGCGGCCGCATGGAAGTGCTCACCGACTCCGAAGGTGAGAGACCCCCTCCTCTCGCGTCGCGCATCTTTCCGGAGTAGCGTGGACCCGCGAGATCGAGCCTCGAGTGTCGATCGGTCCTCGGGGCCCGACTCGATCGATAGGACTCGTCGCTTCAACGCAGCGGAGGCGACGGCGATTCGTTCGCTAGATTCGAGACGGGAAAAAAGAGGGGAAGGACCTCCTCGTCACGTTCTTTCCTTCGTCGTCGCGAGGAATCCCTCGGTTTTTGCGTCCCCTCGATCTGACCCCGCGGTCTCTGCCCCGCAGGCTGGATACTGATCGATCGGTGCGGCAAGCATTTCGGGACGATCCTCAACTTTCTGCGGGACGGTTCGGTGCCGCTGCCGGAGAACACCAAGGAGATGGCGGAGCTGCTCGCGGAGGCCAAGTACTACTGCATCGGCGAGCTGGCCGAGTCCTGCGAGCAGGCGCTCCTGCGGAAGGAGCGCGAGGCGGAGCCGATCTGCCGAGTGCCCCTCATAACCTCCCAGAAGGAGGAACAGTTACTCATAAGCAATACTATCAAGCCTGTGGTCAAGCTGCTCATTAATAGGCATAACAACAAATATTCTTACACGAGGTGATGTTAGATGCCGCTTGATAGTCGCCAATATCTTGACATCTCAAACAATCGAAAATATACCGACCAAAGTCTCTTGCGTGTTTCTTCACATATTTTATATCGTAGGCTAGTATTCGAAACGCACGAGAAAAGTAAATGAACATCAGTAACCCAGGTAGCCGGCTGGTACCTGGGAAGTGAGATGTCACGATATCGCTCGTAGCAGTATTATTGTCACAGTTGAGCTCGTTAAGGAGCGAGTGAATTGAGTTGAAATGTAATCCTTGCAGTACGTCAGATGACAATCTACTGAAGAACATAGAATTATTCGACAAGATGTCGCTCAGATTCAGCGGCAGAGTGTTGTTCATCAAAGACGTTATCGGCTCGAGCGAGATCTGCTGTTGGACGTTTTACGGGCATGGGCGTAAAGTGGCGGAGGTCTGCTGCCACTCGATCGTCTACACGACCGACAAGAAGCACACCAAGGTAAACCAGTGACGTTTTAAAGCCGTGCAACGTGATACACTTGCGTTCTTTCTTCCAGGTGGAATTCCCCGAGGCGCGGATATACGAGGAGACGTTGAACATTCTGTTGTACGAGCACCGGAACGGCCCGGATCAGGAGTTGATGCAGGCCACGTCCTCGCGCGGCGTAGTACCCTGCACGTCCGACGAGGAGGAGGGCGAGCGCTCGGGCCTGGCTCGCCTCCGCTCCAACAAGCAGAACACCAACTGACCCAGTCTTGTTCTCCTCAATCCACCGCACACCGCGATCCTCAGCGTCGTTCGATCGTTCAAGACGCGAATCAACATAAAATAAAGACGAAGCACCGACGCGCAACAGACGCGATTGCTACGTGGTACTTGGTTGTCGAATCTCTCTTTCGTTTTTGGAATACGTGGAACACGAGGAAAACCACAGCTAACTTTGGTCGCGGAGGCGATAAACCGTCTCGCTACGTTTCTCACATCACTTTACTTTCGACATGTAACGTCCTGCTCGAATTGTTGAATATATTCATAAGGAAAGATGCGTCGTCCTAATTCACGTCGAACAGAATGACATATTTGCGCGTCTCAAAGTTTTCTTTGCCGTTCTTGCTGTACGAGCGTGTTTACAAATATGTATAAATGTGCGATGAAGAATGGCACCCGATTGATTTCATCCTGAAAACGACGAAAGGAATGTAACGCCACGCGCTTACTAATTATGTGCCAAATCGTATGAAATCCGCAACAGGAATATGTCCAAGTTGCCAGTCTGTGATGACTGATAAAATTATTTATGAACTTATACACTATGACAACTCTTAAGCAGTCATTTAGATTAAACAAATTGTTGCAAAAAGAAAGTTTTGTGCGAAAACTAGGACTGCATTGTTACCTGTTATAAGTATTATTATTTTATTATCATTGTCATCGTCGCCGTCATTGTCACCGTCATTATTATTAATTATTATATTAATTTGTCATAATTATTAGTTATTATTGCTTACTACTTTTGCGTCATTATCTGTATCATTACGATAAATTTTCTCATCATGTTTACGTTACTCTTTCTTACAAACTTGCATAATTTAATATCTCAATAAATCGTATGTATTATATATTTGAAACATATATATTGTGTTATTTGAATGTGCGTTTCTCAGCAAGTCCGGAATTCTATTAAACTGCACAGAGGACGATGCGGAGTACACACTGCCAGTAAAATAGAAATTGAAGTTTAATATCAGTTGTACATGAACATATGGTTTCCGGCGTGTAGGAGGTACGCGCGTTTTGAACGCGCAATTTCGTTACTCCACTCGAATTTTTAAACGTATTAAATACTAAACGTACTTTACAGAATTTTCGGCTTGAAGGAATGCAATGCAATATATCTGATTTTGAATTTTCTACTAACACGTTATTCCAAGTATAATTTTTCACTGCGCAGTTACTGTAATTCTCGTATATGCAAAATACCGGTGATTTCTTTACTTATTCACACTTTCACTTGTGTGACAAAATCGGAGGGATAATCGGAAGTTGATGCGAGTAACCCGATATCTACTGAACCCAAATGCGATCATCAGGAAACCATAGTTTTTCATTTCATAATAGAGAGTGAGTTTGCTCAATTTTCCGAAGATGTTAGATAAGTGAAAGTGAAGTGTAAAACAATTACGAACTGTGATTACACTGGCACAGTATATATTAATGTGTATATATTACTTCTTGTGTATTTTAGTAATACAAGATCAGAGAGATCCCATAGTTGATAAAGGGACCATGTATATCGTGTTACGTACCTACGTCATAGGATACCTTTTCATTTGCATCTGTAATACGTATGTTATATATTAAATCGAATATATCCATGTTGAATAAAACAATTTATAGATTTCCTTGTGATCATATACCAGACAATAATCGTAAGGGATTGAATGTGGAAAGGTGATGATAGAATAGAAATTTATATCTTGAATTTGTTACGATCGAGAGATTTTCTGCAAGAAACAGCACATATTATTTACAATTACAAACTTGAAAAGGAAATTACGATACAAGAAGGACAGTTGAAGTAAATAACAGCCAAATGATCAAATTTTAAACAACTAGATCTAATTCCGGCAAAGCCAGATTGTTAGTTGCGCGAAATATCGATTATTTAGGAAATTGTACGGCAAATACAATGTATGCGTGTGATAGAGTCTAAATAAGTATTTTATCGCATTCCAACATAGATTTGACGTGTTTCCCATTTTTGTAGCAAGACGGAAAAGGAGTGCAAGACAGAACAAAAAATAAATAAAAGAGGAAATGCAACACAAGCATTAAGATTGATTCGAGCGACATGTATTATGAAACAAGATATTATACATAAGTGTATGACGGAGTTTGCAGCTAAAGACAGTACATGGGGCGCAAACCTTTCTTCTTGAGACGGAATCGAATGTACATACACATGTTGAGGAGGTTGTCAACCCCTGAATTGGAAAGGCACGTCAGTTCTTTCTGAATGATACCAGATACCGCTCTAGTATCTATACGCTACTGATCATCTTGCAAACGGTGTTTACATAAGAGTGTAGTGATTGCTTTTGCATTTAATCATAAACAATGTCTTCGATGAAATTACTGTCTACTAACAACTGTGATTACACATGCGTGTCGACAGAAGAATATATATTAATAGAAAATGTCACATTTGTCATGAATATGTCACACTGGGTCGATTTCTATCTTCTACAATGTTTGCCTTCGCAGAATTTTCAATGCAGTTCTCGCACGAATGTGTCTACGATGCGTGGGAACACAAAGATTCTGGCTACCTCTGCATTACGATCGAAACAGGAATCTTTATGCAACGTGAAAGAGTCTAAAGCCTAGTCTACAATGCGTTCTTTGCGTCTTGAACATTCTATTTTACGTAAGCAAATCAAAAGACTTGACAAATTTTTCGACAATGTATAATGTACGATTTATCAACAAATTTTTTCAAGCACGTATTCATTTATTGGCTACAAAATAGAATGTTTCTAGACGCAAAGAGCACATTGCAAATCAGGCTTTAGCTGTAAAAAATATGACAGTAGGTCTTTATTTGTTCAAGTATTGCCTATTTACGATTTATGTACGTTTAACGTGAACTTGAGATAGTTCTTCAAGTATACGACGAGCGTGTGTTGGCGGCTAGCGCCACATCAGATAATAACATTAGTTCATAAGTCCAATCGCGTTATTTTCTTAGACCAAGAAAGTTCTACAGAGACAAGAGTGCTTAACGCGCGCACGCGCGCGCTCTCTTAGTTCGCGTTCGCGTTGGGTAGATCTCGGATGGAGGAGCTTGATGTACACGTAGGCACGAGTAGATATCTAAGAGCAAAAATATACGAATATACCTTTATCCTAATTAGTGCGGAAAAATGAATTTTCGATGAGCCGTCGAACGCCATTGCTCGCGTTAGTTACACGAAGAAAAACAGAGATTTGCTCCCAGATATAATATGCCCTACCCTCTATTTTGCGTTTCGTCGGAATCCTACAAGTATATCTTGCACTTATATATTACCATAAATATCTCGCGTTTCTCCAAATACCGAAAGAAATTTTCTCTGCGACTGCCATGACGCCGCGGGCACTCCGCGCTTATCGAAGTACACCGGCATCGCGATACAATATAAGATCAGTATTCGGAATTTACCAAAATACCGTAATCGTCGATGCGTCTGCCACAATGCCGTATCGCGCCACTTTCGAGCCTACAATTGTAATCCTCTCTTTCTGAAAGACGAACGCCCTCGCCGTTCTCCCAAAGCTACGACGTATCTCTATATATGATTCTCTGTATAAATTTACAAAAAACATACTTTTTGACATATGCAAATTTCCAAATTCAGATCGTTTCAAACTACTACAGCACTTGACGTAGCTTAACATGAGTACATATTCCTTTTTGCTGTTGTTGTTGTTGTATTTGTTTAACGTTATAATTAAGACAAGATCACAAATTGGTAACGCGTTATACGCAATTGCCTTAATTACATAATACAGTTTAAACATCTTAATCTATTCGCACACCCATCCATTCAACCACTGTACCCAGGGATTCAAAAATAAATTCTATTTCGTAGAACTAAGAGATAAATGTATTGACTTACAAATATAAATTCTATAAACTACGTTTATAAATATGTACATTTATGTACTATGTAATCTAAAAACTCAAGGAATATACTTTGTAAGTGCAGCTGGAGCAAGCGGGATGATATATGGAGAAATCTAAGTATATAATTATTTAACTTAAATATATTAATTAAGACAACTGGAATATTACGATTAGAAGGATTAGAACAATTATAGTTTGAAATAAATGATACTGTGATACAAACATGTATAAATATATAAACTAAAATGATAACTCTCTTATTCGATATGGACTTTTTAACTAAATAGAATATATTGTATCGATTTCGATTTTATATACTTATATTCCTAGAATTCGACAATATATGCTACAATCAAATATCTATTGAACAAAAAAAAAGAAGAAATATGGATTATATAGAATAACAAAAATAAAATTAAGGAAAAAAACAGAGGTGAATAAACCTTAATTTATATTGCGCGTATATGCTTTTAGTATCACTGCATCATTTATACACAACATTAGTCTCAATTAATAAATTTATGTATATTAGAAATTGTTAGAGCTACATATATTAAAATTATACTGGAACTTACAGTAATATATCAAGTTCTATAAAATTAAAAAAAAGATTATACATTTACAATAAAAGCACGTATTATTCATCGTACTTTTGTGTCAATAAATGCTTGTGAAGAAATGAACGAGCTTTTTCATCTGCGAGTTTTATCAAGATTGCTTTACGTTGCCATTTTATATACGCAATCTCTACCTCTCCATTTTTCTATTGTGTACCTCCGTTCTGAGGATTACAATATCAGATTATACACAAAAGAATAAAAGTATTAGCTCGTATGTTGAATAATAATGTGAGGTTCTATTATCAAACGGATTATAATGCATTATGAGACATTAAATAGATATATGCACAAGATGCGATCTTAAAAAAGAAATTTTCCTCCGCGTGTAAAATTTATTTTACTGTAGTCGAAAAATGATTTATCATTGAGAGAACTACACGTAATATCATTCCCACGTGCTCCAATCTAGCAGTCTGTTAGCAGCGACCAATAACACACCTTACACATTATTTCATGTGCCTGTTACTGCATAACCAATTGGTTCCAGCTCTACACAGTAAATATAAAGTTGTTACATAATTTTACATAAACTCACATTCATCCGTCCGTTCGCGGAGATCAGTTCATGACGCATGGTGACTCCTAATTCACATAGCTGCCTCGGTCTTGGCGCGTTTGCAGGGGTTTACCGTGTTTTCTCCCGGGATACAGTCGTTCTTCTCCTCAGCGGCTGGCGAGACCGATCGCTTCTTCGCAACGCACTCGGCAACGGTGTTATTTTTAACAGTTGCGGTTGCCGGTGATTTGAACTTAACTATTACGGCAGTCATGTTGTCGCAGCCCGTTCCGTCGCCGAGGGTATCCGGTGCAAGGCAATAATCAAAGAGCTGAAACACACGTGTGGTTTTTTTTATTACAGAGGAAACACGCCGAAAGTAAGACGCGCGCGATCAGCGTTTAAAAATTATTTTTACTCCTTTAGGCTCGTAACGCGATACCATACCTCTTCGCAGATTTTCGAGATGTTCTCGTCATTTTGCGACAAACGGGTGCGCACGAACTGAACGACGTTTTTACTGGTCATGAAGTTCCATATGCCGTCGCAAGCGAGAACCATAAATTCGTCTTTCTCCGGATCGATCGTAATATGCCTTACGTCCGGCAGAGCGGAGATCATTTGTTCCTGGGGTGGTAACACCATGTTTTGCTTGTACGCATGATCGCCGAGCGCTCGGGAAAGATTGAGGCCGCCGTTCACTCTGCCGTCGCTCGTCACCTCTCCGCCCGCTCTTACTATACGGTCCATTTCCGGTGCGTCCTCGGGTTTATGGTCCAGGCTAAGCTCGATCGCCTGGCCGTCCCTGCACAGGACGCACCGAGAGTCGCCAGCATTCGCCACATACAGTTCGTTCTCCTTGAGTATCGCTACAACCGCGGTGCAACCGCTGTCCGAACCAGGCTGCACACCAAAGAAATCATTATATGAGTGGAAATTTCTTAACAAGCTTTCAACATATTTATGTCGTTTAACGATCCAAAATAAGAGAAACGATTCCGTTCCTTAATTATGCTCTAGATACTCGCGGGGAGTTTGGATGAATTCTCTAAGAAAATTGACACTGTACCTTTTCATTGTTAACCATGAGATCATCCGTATCGTCATCAGATTCATCTATGTCTTCCTCCTCGACTTCGTCTTCGTCTTCGTCATCTTCATCGCTTTCGTCTTCATCGATGTCTTCCGTATCGTCTCCGTCACTGCAAAATGATTGGAAAAGGGGGAATGTCAATTTGAAAAGGGCGAGCAGAAATGAAATCTTTTCACGTCAAGTAACGCAAAGCCTATACCTCTCAGGAACACCGTCGAAGGTTTCATCATTTTCGTCGTCGTCGTCGTCCTCCTCAGAATCGCTGTCCTTTTTCAGTAGACTTTGGTAAAGATCCACAGGCTGAGTTCTTCTCCGGCCGCTGCTGGTTATCCGCTCTTGCTGACCCGCGTCTCCGTTCTCCACAGGGGTGCAAGAACTGCTCGACACGTTGTCCCCGCCGCCCTTACTGCTGTCCGCGTCCCCGATCCTCTTCGACTCCGCGCCATTAACTTCCACCTCGTTTGCGTTGGACTCGGCGCACGGTGGCGCCTTGCCCGGACTCGAGACTTTCTCCTTCACATCCTCGGAACTGTCGGGCATATCCATAGATTTAGCGGGTTCCACGTCCGCGGTAGACACCACTGGAGGCGCGTGAGCGCTGCCGTTGCTCGTCGTCGAATCCAGCACCTGCTCGGCCTCATTGCTACCCGGGCAATCGGAATCTTTTCGCTCCACCGTGCTGGACAGGGTCGATCCGCACGGCTGACTGGAACTGCTCACGTCAGTCTCATTCGTATTCCAGTCGGGGGTGGACGACGAGGACGAGGACGACGACGTCGGTGGCGGCGACGGCGAGGACGAACATCCCGCGCCGGCGGACGAGCCGCCCGCTTTCTCCCGTCCCCTTCGACCCCGCAGATAAGGACTCGCGAATGCGCGCTTACCGCACTTCTCGCCCTTGAGACTCTTGAGATGAGGATTCGTCACCTCTGACTGATACTTGGCCATCACCTGCTCCAACGGCATTGTCGCCTCCATACACAGATTACTAACATTCTCCTCTTCATCTATACGCAATGCAACGTACGAAGACAACCTTATTAAACGTTTACTCGTGCGGATAAGGAGTAAGAGTAAGTTAGAGCTTGCAAAGTGCACGATTAGCGAGAGCACTCGTATAAGCGTGAATCCCGTAATAATGCATATCCTTAATACGAAAAAAAACGCACCAGATTCGGTCAAGTCGCTCTCCTTCTTCTCCGACGTGGACGTCCCCGCGAGCTCTTTGAGAACGTTGACCACCTCGGGCTTCGTCAGAGTGTCGTCAAAGCCGAGGAAACCGTCTATTAAAGCTTGCCCGATGTCGCCCTTCTTGTAAGCGTCTGTCTGTTTGATAAAGTCAGGTAGGTTGCGGGCGCAATACGTCGCAACCTCGTGTCCACCGTGACCGTCGTACACGGCGAAAAGCGAGACATTCTCGCCGAAGTCTATGCAACAATTGTGGGCATCCTGCAAAGAGAGCGAGACAGAGAGCTGCCGTTAGTGATCAATCTTCGATCGGGATTCTCTCTCTCGTACTGGAAACCTTTACAAGTCGCAATGAACGCGAGACGTGACGTACAAACTTGAACGGTCGATTTACTTCCGCGCGATAACATCTTCCTGTCGCGTCGACCAACGGGCGAGAAACAACGTTCATTGCGTAACAACTTTGCCGTCCGCGGAGGGAAATCTAGCAGCCGATACACCGCGCGCGATATCGGGGGCGAGAGAGAGTGTTGCACATCGCCGACGCGATATCTCCGCGACGGAGCAACGACAATATTGATCGACGTGTCGCCGGGATCCCGTCTTATCGAGCTATCTCGGCGGCTGGTAAATAAACGCGCGTGATCGCGCGGGAGCCGTCGCGGAGCGGATGCTGCGCCCGGGAGGCCGCTGCTCTCGGACGTCGTCGGCCGCGCTCCCGCGCGCGCGGGACGCGTCGGCGGGCGCGCGGCGCCGCGCCGCGGCGCGGCGACGAGCGCGGCGACGGCCGGCGATCCGACGACCGGGCCAACCGGAGCCGGTGAGACACGCCGCCTCGGGAACGCGGGGTCGCGGGCGAGAGCCAGAGCGAGAGAGAAGAAAGAGAGAGAAGGAGCGAGAGAGAAAGAGAGAGAGAGAGAGAGAGAGAGAGAGAGAGAGAGCGCGCGCGCGCGCGCGCGCACGTCGCGACCGTTGCCGCCGTCGCCGCGGCGACTTCCCGCTTACCTCCTGACTGATCCGCCAGCCCTGCATAGAGCTCGCGCCGTACGCGACGTTCTTTCCCACCTCGTCGCTCGACTCCTTCTTCGTAATCGGCTCCGACAAGTACGCGCCCATCTTTTGAAATACCGGCTGGCCGTCGTGCTACTCCCGCGGCGTCCGCGTTACAACGTATCGCAGCGATTCCGCCAGAAAGCCAGAAACTCACAAGCGTGGTGCCACGGTCGTTAACTAGCCTCCCATGACCGGTTTGGCTTTCTGTTTTCCAGCGCGCTGCTGGCGCCAGCTGGGTCGCCGCCGCCGCGCTGCACCGCCGCGCCGCGCGCGCCGACTCGGGGCGCGCGCGCGCTTTCGCGCCAAACTTAAAGCAACGTGCGCATGTAGGGATCGGGGGTGCCAGGGAACGGCGGCGTTCCGTTCTATTTTCCAAGCTCCCGCGGTCGCGCTGCATTTGTTCGTCGTGCAGCCGCGGCGGCGGGGAATCGTCTCGCTCGAGTGGAGGAACGCGCGTTGCACCTCGGCGGAATTGCCGCCCGACGTTGCGGCGATCGATCGAACGGATTTCGAACGGCCGAGATAACTGCGAGATCCCCCCCCCCTCACCCACCCAGGCCAGCGGGTTATCGCTAATTGTCGTCGTTCGAGGCGAATGACATTCGAGTGTCGACTCGGGTCCGTTTAGTCGAGATATTTTACATTTAATTAAATGAGCGAACATCAACGGCAAGTGAAACCCACGGTAAGACTTGGTAGGTCCACTCCGTCATTCGTTTCGTTTTTGCGTCGATCCGTTCTGCGCATCCGACATTGTTCTGGGCAGACCAGTGGGAGAAAAGTCGGTGTGTGGACGTGTGGTTGTGTGAACTCACGCCGTACGTCGCTGGATTGCTGCCTAAAATAATGGCGGGACATACCACGTGATCGGGAGCGCAAAGATCAAAGGGGCCGACAGAGAGTGGACCTACTAGTTGTACCGTGGTGAAACTTTGACCCGCTAATGTCCATTTCTACCAACGTAGATTAACTTTAATCTCGGTCCAACTTGCCTCTTATCGTTTCCTTTTATTCTTGGAACTAGAAAAATTGTACGTTGAACCGAGATTAAGATTGATCTACGTTGGTAGAAATGGATGCGATTCTCACAAGTGAATACACGTAGATACGTGCCACCTTCGGTCGAGCTGGACAGCTTAACGTTATTCTTGCGTGAATGTATTGTATATTTATTCTCGAATAATCGAGCGGCGGACTAATGCAAGAAGACACGTCGGAAGTTTCGAATGTTAACGCGTCTTTGTCAGGTATCAAAGTGAGAGCGATAACTGATCGCACTAATAACACGTTAACATTGAAAACGTACTTTAATAACGAAGCATGTTCATTCATTATCGAAGATGGCATTAGCTTGTGTTACGATAAAATAGTTCTCATTACCGCGGAACGAACATAATATTCACTACAATCAAAATTTTCACACTCTCCGCGGACCAAAGTAACGTTAAAAACATAAAAATTTCATTAATTTTTACAAGAATTAAAAACTACCAGAGCTGTTTTACTGTCAAGTGTAATAAAACTAGTTTAATAGTTTCTTCTTTAATTTTTTATTTTCCAGAATGTCGCGGATCAGACGAAACTCCTGTCTCTGTCGAATAAAGTATCAGGGGCTCGATTCTTGAATTTATTCGAAGGAGAAACGTATGCGAAAATTCTGCTCTTACAGAAAAGTTGCAAGTTGATTGGCTACTCGCATGGCTTTAACCAACTTTTCTGTCAGAGCAGAGTTTTCGTATACGTTTCCTCTTCGAATAAATTCAAGAATCGGGCCCCAGGACGGAGAGTGATCGAGTCGCCATTAGCTGTGTTCGGCGTTGGAAAATGTAAGGCGTCGGAGCGAGCGCGACGGAAGAACGAGATAGAGAAAGAGAGAGAAGGCGCGCAGATTCGCAATGGCGAGCGCACCTTTCGAACTTGCCGCGCTTGGGCCGTGGTGGGGGAAGAACCGCGCGCGGCGTCGCGCTGTTCGGGGCCGGAGTGGGGATAACAGCGGCGGGAGTGGTGGAGGGGAGTGCGCGCGGAGCAGTGCGCCGGGCGCTCGGGCTCGCTCGCCGCGCCAGTCGTTCGGCGGAGCTCGGGGAGGTTAGGACGGGTCGCGCGCGCGCCCCCGGATGCGAATGCTCGGTGGTACGGCGCAGCACCGCGACGGTCGACAGACGGTAGCGGATACGCGGCGCGGAGTCGCGCGATCACGGCGCCGGTCTCGCTCCCCTTCTCGCGCGCTCGCTGGCGAGCGTCCGTCGTCCCCGTCGCTCCCGTCGGCTCGACCCCGTCCCGGTAACGGGGGCGAGCCTCGCTACGCCCGCTCGTCGACCCTCGTCCGTGCACATCGTGCTCGCCGCCGCACCTGTCGATACGGAGCGCCGGAGGGAGCGGAGGACAACCCGAACAGCACCGTGCGTTCCCGGCCTAGTGACCTGACCTTGGATCGGCCCGACCAGGTATGTCTGTCATTGCTTTACTTGCGCCCACGCTCGCGTCTTTGCGCGCGACGTCTTCTCCGGGCCGAGACGAGAGTCGTCTCCCTCCGGAGATACACTCGCGATTATGGCGATGGTGGTGGTAGTGGCGGCGGCGGGGTTGGAGATTGGTTGTTGTTACGGTAGTATGGCAGCGGCACGCACCCCGCTAATTCGGGGCGCTTAACGCGCGTACGTGTTGCGGATAAGAGGATTTCGTCGAGCTCGCCGTTATACCGATAGGCTTGAGCCAAGCCTCCGGTACTCGATATCACCCCGTGCTCGTCTTTACGGTTTCCCGAGCGCAGCGTGCCGCTCCACTCGGCAGACGGACCGTTGTTGTTGTTATATCGATCTTAAAAGCGTCCCCCGTACCCCGTATTGCCATGCAGTTTGAAAACCGACGGTGACTCCGGCTAATTTCTTTTCTAATCGAGATCACCCCGGGGGAAAAATTCCCCTATCGATCCCGGCGGAACTTGGGGCGGGAAAAGTTTTACCTTTCGGCTTTTACGCTCGTATCGCGCGCGCGAACGGTCCCGCTGCGGATTCGCGTACGGAGGCGCGCGCTAAGCGGAAAACGCGGGCAATCCCCTCGGCAAAACGAGTATTTCTAACCGCGCATATACGTATTTTGCAATTAAACTCTTCCCGAGAGCATTTATCTGTTATCACGCGAGGCGCGGGCTATCTCCAAAGGTCTGCGTCCGCGATGCTAGAATTTGGATCCAAGTCCGAGAGAGATACGTGTATTCCAAGCTGCAAGTTGATTTACACATTTCTCAAAACTAGTATCGTGGACACCAGGCCTTAACTGGCCTGAGCAGAAAGATTGTCGTTTTTATGATTCCGTTAAGGTCGTTCTACATTAGTCGCAAGTAACCAATCGCATGAACGCAAGCGGCACTACTTCCGATCGTAATGCAGTCCGCAAACGCCAGTCGCAAGGTTTGACCAAATCCAAAATTTGCGTCTCTGCGATTTGCGACGGCCAATGAACATCGAGCTTCGCTGTCATGGTGTCTGTTTGGCTTGGTCGATAGCTCGTTAGTTTCTCGTGTTTCTTGATCGGTCAGAAAATTTTATATATTAGTAAAATGAGTCATATAGACTGGGACGATGATGATTGCTTTGGACGTAAGTGTTCTGCGATTTGCAACGGCCAATGAACATCGAGCTTCACTGTCATGGTGTCTGTTTGGCTTGGTCGATAGCTCGTTAGTTTCTCGTGTTTCTTGATCGGTCAGAAAATTTTATATATTAATAAAATGAGTCATATAGCAACATTCTCTTCTTTGATTGGCTGTGACTTTACGACTGCAATGTAGAAGTTCAAATCGCAAATTTCTCGCGACTTGCGACAATATGGACGTGCCAGCGATTGCTTGCAACTTAATGTAGAACGACCTTAAGGCGACATACGTCTGCGACAATGCTTTGTGCGTTGACTTGGACTCTTACGACGGAGACGTAAACGGTTACGACATTGCCCTCAGGCCCGCCGACGCGACGCGACGCGACGCAACGCCGGGCCCGACGCGCCGTCATCCACTGCCCCGCCGTCGTCGCAAGCGGTTGTCTCTACCACTGACGAGATCATTAATCTCTCTCGCTACGCGAAGCATCCGGGCGACGCTCGTTCTCTCACCAGGGAGGAGCGAGGAGAATAACTCGCACGTGTCGCGACTTCGCAATTACTTCAGCACGAAAGTAGGATATACTAACCGTGCACTGGGAAAAAAAAAAAACATTGTTCCCGTTACCAAATGCGTTTAGTATTGACGGTATTTCTTTGGTTCAAATATGTTTTTCAGCTGAGCGAACGTGATTTATCGAAATATATATTTTTTCAAGCTGACAAATGTTTACGCGAATTAATAAACATTTGACAATCTGTGGCCGCGGCCAAGAAATATTTTCCTAATTTTTTTTCTTCTCAGCGTGGCATACGCGAATTCGCCTCTAATCTTCGCTGCCCAATTGCGCTGTTGACGCGCCCCGCGCGGCGGATTCGCGTGGATGGGATTTTAAGACGCGTCTCCGGGAGTTAATCGAGTTAAAATAAATTAAGCGATACGGGAGGATTATGTGCGAATACATCGCGTGTGCGCGCCGACGGGATTTTATTCAATTTGCTTCGCGGGAGTTTCTGTCTCGCGACAAGTTGCGAAGTGCCGCTCGCAGGAGGCCGATGGCAAGTGTCCAAATGCGAAGCGGAATAAGCGTGCCGTAATCTTACAACGTTGGTTTTAATTATCCCGTTTGATCCGCCCGTCTGGAAGTCATTGTTTGCCCCGTGCAAACTGTTGCACGTGTGCGCCGTTCGACGAATTCGCTTCCGATTGAGCCGCGCGAGAGAAGCGCTGACGAGTGCTCCATAGACGAGCGAATTCGAGCTTAGAAATACATCAGATATTAGAAATGACTCCGCGAAGGGTTTCTCTCGCTCGTAAATTTCTCCGGGGGCGACGCTCGCAAAATTAATTCGCGCAGCAGCGGCTCGCAAACGTTCGATTTTACTTCCCCTCAATTTTACAAAGTCGTATTGATTAATTGGAGCAGTCGGAATCTCGCGATTCGTCATGTTGACGTCGAACGAGTTGCTTCTTAGTTTAATCCCGCAACGCGACTGATGATCACAAAATACGAATCGACATCTATTTCTTTATCGCTTTCATGTATTCGCGTGTGTAGTTTCCGTGTTGTTTCACTTCTCTCGTATTCTTAAAGTGAAGAAGACGTTCTTCCCTCTCGCGATTCGACTCCCTATTCTTATAATTTTGGGAATCACAATTGCCAACCTCTTGATCTCGAACGCGTTTCCGATCGACTGAGGGCACGTAAGGGGACGACAAATACGATCCGCCGTTTATGCATTCTACGTAAAAACTGTCGGTTTCAAAGGATATCTTACGTCACGTCGTGACAGTCGTCCTTGATATTTCCAGGTCGTTGAGTGCAACCTTCCAGCCAATCGCAGATTTTATTTTACAATATTTGTGTCATTTTCTCGTCCAGCCGGGGACGAATTATCTGGTCTCCTTTAATCCGTAGAATATCTATGGGTCCTCGCGCAATTAGTTTCATGCGCGAGATAAAGCGTGTTATATTTATGTCATGTAACGAGCAGAGTTTCCTCCTCGGTTCTTCCTCGTGAATGAATTGTTCAGATTGCTCTTGGCCGAAATCCGCGATAATTACGGTCTAGGATGCTCGGAAAGTAACGGCGATTATATAATATATATATATATATATATATATATATATATATATATATCTCTCTCTCTCTCTCTCTCTCTCTCTCTCTCTCTCTCTCTGCGCCGAATAAAAATCGCAGCACAACTTGGACAGCTAGCGATTTAGACAGTTTTCGTTACAATCAAATCAATGTTTATTACAAGTCGGAATTAAACAAAAGTCCGGGCGATTTGTAACGTAAGCGTTTCGATCGTGTTCAATGCTGACCGGCCCTGTTGAACACTGTTCGACAGAATTAAGAAGCTACTTTGAATCGGCGGCAAAAGTGAACGAAATACAAATTTATATAATCTTGCGAAAAATAAGGTGATTTTCGCGAACGAGCGATTCCAAAGCGCCTCGCAAACTCCGCGCTTTCAAACCCCGTGAAGGCGATACTTGTGTTTCAAGTGGTGCCACTTCCGAGGCGAACGTGCAAAATTGATGAAAAAGAAATTTTTTAAGTATCTCGCTCACCCTTCATTGCCTATATTGTCGACTCGACTCGATCGCGAAGGGGAGAAAAGCCAAAATAAGGTATCGTTACTATTTTCCTGAATTGAAAAACGTGCGACTAGCCGAATTCGAACAGATTGGCTCTGTAAATGTCGAGCATAAGAGTAGATTGCATCTATCAAACGTTAATTTCGCCTTCCCTTGTCGCGGAAAAAGAAGATAACTTGTATTTTTCGCATATGTCATATTTTATGCCGAAGACTATCAATTACGTTGGTTACATTCCACGAAAGGAACTTTAAACGCGGCAGATTTGATTTAAACAATGAGTAACTTCCGTGCAATCTTGACGTCGGTTGTGAATCGATAGTTTACAAATTATAGTACGAACAGTTAGAACCATAATTACACTGCAATCTTAATTTTATCGTTGGATTTGATCGAGCGTTGTACTGATAAAAATTACGTGACACATCAGTGAAATATTAACGTGACGTTGAATATTACTTCCCGTCAGACAGTTTAAACGGTTAGAACGTTTTGTCGTGTAAATCTTTTCGAGTTAAATATAGAATCGCCGCTTATTGGACCTCCGTTTGCCCCTCGCGCGAAAACAAAAAAAATAATTTGGGATCAACGACGACGGATATATTCGTTTGACCTTTCGCGCGCGGGGGGGGGGAGGCATTCTTCCCTCCGTTGTCTTTGTGACCGCCCCTCGCGTGCAAAAGCATTAGTTAACGGTTGGCATTTTACTAGACACGAGTCCATGTCGAGTTTCCACTGTTATTACAGTATCGTCTCGCAAATCATGTAAACTAGTTTATTGTTCCGCTGCGAGCTTCGTATCGCGAAAATTGCACAGCTGCCATGTTGCGCCGCCCGGAAAATTAATCACGCGCGTTCGCGAATATGTTTTTTCCATATTTATTATTTGGGAAACAATGGAACTAGCGTCACTACCGTTGTAGTTCGTTGACAGATATTGATAAAAATATGCGCGCGGCACGCGCAATCGAATTACAAATTAATCTCGGCAAACACAACAGCTGGAATTGCATTCGCAATTTCTATTAAAATTCTATCTATTATTTGTTATTTTATTATCCCATTATTATATACATATTATTTCAATGAATTTGCATTACACGTAGGCGTTGTTATTTTACGAGCGCGGTTGTTAAACTTTGCTACCCACGGGGTCTTCGGACCGCGCGGTTCTCACAGTATGAAAATTACCACATCTATAAAGTGTTCGTTTATCTTGCGAAGAATTATAAGACTCGCTG